CCTTCTCTCGCCGGTGCTCGGCTACTGGTCTCTGAGGGGCTGAAGGTCTCCCGGCCCCTCTGCCCTGTTCTGCACTGGTCGCGGTCGCGCAGGCCGAGGCGTGCAGGGCCTCCGCGGCCGGAGGCCCGCATGGCACTCCTGCTCCACACGCAGAACTGGGGCAGCCCAGCCTTTCCCCAGTACCCCCCTGCCCGGGTTCACAGCGTTGAAGTTCTGAACCAGCCTTAACCTTTTAGGCAAAAAGTTTCTTTACAACTTTTAGGACTTTCTTTACGTTCAGATCATAACAAAACCTGTTAACTAAATCCTACCCGTGTGATGGACCTGTCAGTATGGAGCACTGCAAGTTGCTCAGGGGTCTGCTCACTGATTTCAGTGTCTCAAGGGTTACTGGACAGTAAACTGAGGAGTTGCATAATAGTCTGCATGGCATGATATCAGTAATGGTTGGTATTCAGAGGGTTTCATTCTGAACTGCGTGTTTCTTTTCTCTTGCCGTAGATGAAAATGAAGCAGAGAAACCAGAGGAAGAAAAAGCTAGGTGAGTATCTTGACAACTGTATGTCTTGTAACATGGCTGTATAAAAGTTATGTTCGTTACATTCTACTTCCCAGCTGCCTAAAGGTCCTTAGTGCCTGAACACACACTGGTGTCTTTGAAAATCTCTTTAAGGTAGTATGTTTGATCTGCTGGAATGACTTGGCTTTTCTGTGAAATAGTTTTACTTGTGGAATTTATACACTTGAGTATGAAAGCTGTTTTAAATGTTAACTGTATGGACAGCAATAGCTCCTCACAAAATGCCAACAGGTCTTTTCTTTCTGTTTATTTATTTTATTGTACTTTGCAGTCTTAGTAATCAATGAAGACTTCATTTGTTCTAGATAATCCAGAAATCAAAAGACAGCCTGTGTCTCAAAGAGCATAGTTACAAGGAATACAAAGAAACAGTGGAAGATTACCAGCTACTTCGATGTGCAGGTCCCATAACACATCTGCTTAGCATTTTGGGATTGGTTTATTTATTAGTAAGAGAGTATTTGAGGGAAAGTTGGAAAAAGCTTAAGAAGCATTTGACAGAGCCTGTGTTATAAGAAACTGTATGAGAGAAAGCACAAAGATGTTCCTTTGAAAATCTAGTTAAGTTGATGGTGATTGGTAGTAAGAACTGACTGGAAATATGAATCCGTCTCTTGTACTGAATGAAGGAGGTTTCATAATTGATAAACTATGGAAATTGTTGATTGCTAAGATAAATAAAAGGGAGGCTAATACAAGAAAACATACCTTGTTAGTTTCTATAAATGCTTCCAGTCAAGATTTTTTTTCAATGAGAACTCTTGATTTTAGTTACCCTTGGTGGGTTTCTTGTCTGTAAGCTTGCTCAGTTGCTTTTTTTGAACTGATGTCAATGTTTGACAGGCACTGTGTGGTACAGCAGTAATGACCTCCACCACTTGACTACATATGGTATCATTTTGAAGCAGCTATTAGATGCAATTATCTGATTCCCCTTAGTTCTTACAGCATAAGAAACAGAGTTGTGTCCTGTCACGTTTTCTGTGTCGCTTAACACTTTTCTAGACCTCTCTTGCATTCATCTTGAATCATCTCTTTTCCAGGGCAAAGAATTCTAATTATTAATTTGCTCTTTATTTGGAAGCTATTCCGTATCAGGTGATTCCTTGAGTTCAGTTACCTTTTCTTGACCTGGCACATTTTGTCAGTGTTACTGTTGGTTAAGAAAATTATTTGCATGGCAGCAGTTGTGTTTTACTCCAGTTTCTGGTCTTGCTTGGCATTTGGCTGCCTCAATATGTAGTTATGGACTAAAAAGCATAACAAATGGTAGTTTATGCATCTTATGGGTTGTGTTTGGAACTCTGAAAGTGTGGTGACAGTTTACCTGTTAAAAGTTTTGGTCTCTGGTTTCTCAGTTTTGGCATTCTTTGTATACATGAAAATTGTGAGGTTTTATTCAGGTTCTGTAGGCAGTCTGTCATTTTACTGAGTGTTGAAGTGAAACAGTCAAGCTTGAATCTGTGGACCATACCTGGGCTGTGTTGGGTTTTGGTACAGTGCCTGTGAGTGAGTATTTTGCCAACAGACAACAGGATCAAAGTCATTCTAATCAATAAAAATTGGCAGTTGTTTACTCCATTTCAGAAATTTCTTTGCAGTGAAAGAATATTGTTTCTAAATGGCTAAATTAATCTTTTTTAATTAATGTGGAAGATAGCTGAAGCTTTGGGTCTTCTCTGGAATGATGTAGCGAGGTTTTTTTTGTCATTAGCTGAAAAAAGTGTGAAATACTATGTACTTAATGCCGAGTTTCATCTTTTCCTGTTTGTTTTTGTTTAAGTGCTCCACCCCCACCTGGAAATGAAGAGGAAGCTGCAGAAAATGGCGTTGTGAAAAAGGTAGCTTTAAATGTGTTTTTGAAATACTGCTTTAATTTGTTTTGATCTATTGGGTAGTTGTAATTTGGCTAGGACTTACAGTTAATTAAATTAATGTGTAAATGTATGCCCTTGATTTTTTTTTTCTTCTGAAAAATGTTTGACACTATTTGCAGAAACTGTAGGAATTAATAAATTGGGAAATCCGATTTCCAGCTGCAGTCCAATTTTTAAACTCTAACTTACAGAAAATAAATGAATAGTACTTCCAGGATTTTTGGGGAAGACACTGCTGTCTTTTCTCAAAGACTTCCTTTTGAAAATGATATTCTCTCTATTTTTCCTCACTGGTAGAAAAATAAAGTCCTCTGATCACTTTTGTTTTTTGAATGTGGTAAACAATAAACATTTGCAAAACTGTGTGAAAGTATGGAACAAGAGATGAATTACACGTGCCTTTCAGAGGCAACGTAGTAATCTTCAATGTTCAGTATGGCTTACAGCTTCAGTGGTAGTATGATGAAGGAAAGGACCAGGAAATGAAATTTACAGTTGCAGCATTGTCAGAAGGCCTCAGCGTACCGTAAATGGGAACAGTTGAAATCTGTTCTATGAAAAAAATGTAATTTTACTTCACTGGGCTAAAAAAGCTTCTGTCTTGCAAGAATTCTCTTAAGTGATGCAGAAACTAGGATCATAGCATTTGTGCAAGTTTTAAGGACTGGTCTCTCTCAAAAGTTTAATTTTTCAGTAAGTCGAATATTTATGAAAGATACTGCAACTTATTTGAAGTTTGGGGAAGAAAAACTTAAAACTTATTTCAGCTGTTGAAAAGCTCTTTATTGTAAGTACACCAAAGGCTTTTTGTGCTGATGCTAATACTGTAAGTGGGCAGTAGATTTAATGTTAGGTACAAGGAGACAATCGTATACTTTTTTGGACTTTCTGATTTTGAAATATTTCTGAAAAATCTCATTGATGCTGTTTCCTTGTACTTGCATATCTTTGTATTTTTCACCTATATACAACGTAGCATTGTTAGGATATAATTAGAACATCTCCTTAAAATTAAAAACTCTATGGGAAAAGATGCACATGAAGGGTCAGCAGCAACCAGGAAAAATGGATGGTGTTCGAGTTGGTTGAATGAAGAAAAGGTGACTGGTTCTGTGAGAAGGGAACTAAGAAGCCATGGTTTATAAGTGAAATTGGCTTTAGTTGGAAAGGTGCATGCTCCAGACAATTTTTTTTCTGTTTGATTTGTTTGTAAAGGCTCTGTACTGTGTGGGTTGCCTGGTGTGTGAGAGAGTGGTGAAATTACACTTTTCAGCAGTGGGGCATTGAAAGACTCTTGTCCGTCTTTAGCTGTCATTTACAGAATATCTATGCTGATCTAGACTTTCCCCACCCCTTGGTGAGACTCTTTATCGTTATGTAAGATATATTAATGTTGTATGCCAAGGATGAACTGCACTTCAACATGTTATCTTCTGTGCAGCTGCTTATTTTTGTCTTAATTTTAGTACCAGGCAAGTTAATAAATGCTATAGTAGATAAGGGCTGGAGCTCAGCTGTGCTTGGATAACTGCAGGCTACCTGAGCAGAGTCAACATGGCTTTGGTATGTTCATCCTCTTGCTGAAGAATTCGACAAGTACGTGGATAAGGGTGATCTGGTTGATAAAATTCACTTGGATTCCACCAAGTTTTTGAAGAAGTTTGTCACCAAAGAATATTGAGAAAACTAAGCGGCTATAGGATAAGAGTCCCACATGGATAATAGATATGTGAAGCACAGAAAACAGAGCATAGAAGTAAAGGTTCTGTTTTCACAGTGAAGGAAGGTCACCTCCAGTGGGGATCCTCTGGAATGTTGGGCATAACCTGTGCTGTTTAATGTGTTTATAAATTACTTGGAAAAGGGGTAAGTTGTGGTATCACAAGTTTTCTGATGTTACGAAGCTATTCAAAATAGTAAGAGCAAGGACTGTCTGTGAAGAACTGTGTGGTTAATAAATGGTTATTGAAATTCTGTATAGGAAAAGAAAAACAATGTTCATGGGAGTAGAACCAGGTTTACAAATGAAATGGTAGTCTCTGAGCTGATCATTACCACTTAGGAGGGACACACTAAGTTATGTAGAAACATCCATGAAAATGATGGTTAAATACTTGTCTGGAGTCTGAAAAGCAGTTAAGCCTTGGGAACAAAATAATGTATGGAGACTATAAATAAGGATTGACTCCTCACAGTCCCTTCCATATGAGAGTTTGAAAATTGTAGGAGCCTGGATGAAAACAAATAAAAGGGCTTGACTCTTCATGCAGTAGACATTGCTATGGAACTTGGTGCCAAAGAGGGTTGTGTCAGTGCTGAGAGTTGTGTGAATCCAAGGGAAGTCTGGGCAAGTACTTAAGAGCAAGATCCTTTGGGGGTTACTAAATAGACAAACCATCGCTGGCTTAGGAAATTGATAATAATCAACAGCTGAAGGAGTATTAGGGAGGAGCATCATTTGTGTTTGCCCTGTTTTTTCTCTCCCCTGTGGTCTCAGGGAGGGGTGGAAAACAAAGCAAAACACCAAACAAACCTGAAACACTGGACTGGATGACTCTTGATATGAATTAGCATGACTGTTTTTGTTTACCAGCAAGCTTGAATGCTATGGGACAGAACAGCTTGCAGTGTGCTCTTCTGTTTTTTTCAGCCTGTTCACTGAAAGATCTCAAGTATTTTATATAGTTTACTGATGTTAGGAACTGAATTGATTTATCTAAAGGGCAGTGTTTATCTACAACTGGAAAAATATTTATTTGAGTTACTCTGGATATGTAATTGAGGATGGCAAGAAGCTATTCTTGCATGTCTTTAAGTTTGTTCCTGAGTGACAAGATAAGAGTAGAACTGGTGTTTATGACCTAGATAAGAGGGAAGAAGGATACTAGATATTGGAAACCATTTAATGCTTATTTAGGATATGTTGTGTTTCAGAAACAGAAGCTTAGCATTAAAGATACTTCCCTATTTTGATCCAGATGTTTCAGATACTTGTAGCATTTCAGCAGATGAGCCTTCAAAATTGACTGTTAATGCTACTCAATTTTGAGGTCTAGGAAAAGAAGAATTTTCTTCTTTCAAAAATTTCTAGAATAGATTGTTTTGTCTGGATTATTTTTTCCGTTGTAAATATAAATGACTGCTTTTTGTCTAAGCAGTGACTTTTTCTTTCGTAGAAGGTGGCAGAGGCTGAGGCTGACAGTGATAGCGATAGTGATGATGATGAAGATGATGTCCAAGTCACCATAGGGGATATTAAAACAGGAGCTCCACCAGCTCCGTATGGGTAAGTTCTTTGCAAACGTTAACTGGGTGAACTTTCAAGATTACATTTAATTATTAATGCAGGCTCTTTAATACTCGTCAGTGTCAAATTGTATGCACAGTTAGTCTTGCTCTTTAACAGTGTTTTTAATTATACAGTAACTTGAAAACAAAAAATGTGAAATGAAATCGATGAAGTATCTTGAGCTGCTGTATGAGTTGGATTTTGTTTCAGGTTTTGGGAAATAATTGTATTAAGTTTGTAAAGTAGAGAGTTGGTTTCTTTATTCTGAAATGACTATGTTACATAGCATTTTTAGGGTCATTGTGATGGTGAAATTTTTGTTGCAAATGGTAGACTGGTAAGCACAGAGAACATTAGAAACATTTGTCCTTGGTCCTGTTTGTAGTGGATACAGTTCTAATCAGACCTCTATACTTCCAATTCGTATTGATTTTCTTAAATAAGATTTTAAAGGATGGAGCTGCCAATCTTTGGAGATAATTTCTCAAGATCATGGCTTAAACATTTATATGATACAAGAAATACATTGCTATTGTTATTGGCCCATATTTCTTTTTCTTGTGATAAAGGGCTTGGTTGTCACTGAGCATTTTTGAACGGTGTTAATTTTACCCAAAATTATGAAATGCTGTTTTTTCATTGCATGGAAGTTTTCTGAGGGAAGTGTTTTCCTTGTTTGTCTTGGCAATCCTAATTTTTTATGCTTATTAAAACCATAGTTACTAGGGCATAATTTCTTAATAGAGTTATGACAGGTCTTCAGGTACGTCTGACTCATGTATATTTTTGTGTTCTTAACTTTAGAATGCAGGCGATTTATTATTTTTGAAACATAGGATTTTAAAACTTTTAGTATTCCATGTCCTAAACTTAACTGTGTAAGTGAATGTAATATAAAAATAGCAATTCTTTCAGTTCTTTATTTGTTTTCAGTAAGTTGCAGTATGCTCCTGGTGTAGGCAGTGACCTCAAATTTTGAGACTAAAGCAAAACTAGATTTATATTCTGAGTGGATTTGCTGGTGCTCTTTCCATGAATAGAGAAAACAATGACCAGATGATCCTAAATCTAGTTAGAGTAGAAAGTTTTATGTAGAAATGGTTGTTTTCTGAAATTTGTTTTTCCTGGGCTAATTGGACTGAAAGTTCATGGAAGGGCAGTGATCTAAAACAAACTCAACTTTCTCTTCATTTAACTTCAGTGTAACAAGTTCCTTATATAGGATTAAATGACTTTTTGTATAGTAGTCAACTGCTGTTTAAAAAAACCCCAAAGGATTAGTTTGACAAAGTCATTGCCAAGTACAGCATGGCAGATCTGAAGGTTAAAAGCTTTATGTTGTTTTATACTGTTCTAACACTTGTATTAAATCTAGAACTGTGATGCTATAAACTACATATTGTCTTCTAGCTCTACGCTAATCTTGTTATGTTTATGGATTGATAACATCTGTGAGGATCAATGCAAATGTGTAGTGAAAGCTAGCTCTTAATGTTTCAGATGACCAATCCTGTAATACCTAAGGGAGTTAAATCAGTTCAGTACCTAGATTTCTGGGTGCATTTTTAAGGAAGAAAGCTCTCAAGTATTTTAGGAAGTGAAATGTTACATACTTTTCTGTTGGTTACAAGAACGAGTGATTGCTAGAAGTACAGTGAAACAGATGGCCTTTCGGTCATTGCAGAGAAATGCTTTTATTTCCATTTCTGTATGAATTAAATGGAATAATTATGAAAAGAGAAATGGATTGGTCTAAACCCTTTCTTTTCTTATTTTGTTTTTACCCTGATCCCCAGAGTGTCATCTGTATTCCTAAATGAACTGCATTTTTCCTTTCTCTCTTCTTCTGGTTCTGTCCATTCTTTTTTTCTGTCAAGGTCTTTATCCTTTCAACTCAGGAAGAGTGACTGGGACTTGCTTGACAACTGTTAATTAGTTGGAGAAGTTGCTACTGAGCATAGAAAGGTATACTCTTTTCCTCCTAGGCTGATCTCTTTACTTTTACAGTGTTACCAGCTTGGAAAGCTAGAGATTCGGGATGGCGATGAGCCTGGGTCCAGTTTGTTTCTGGATCTAGCTAACTCTTGTTTTGTGTTTTCTTCTGTTTTAGAGTTTTCTCTGTCTAATTTAATTTTCTTAATTTCTTTAAGTTATGGAGCTACACCTGTAAATCTCAATATTAAGACAGGAGGACGAACTTTTGGATCTTCTGGTAAGAAAAGTTACACAGAATCGTTAGTAAAAATGCAAGAAGTGTTTGATTGTTTTGGATTAAGTAATTAATTTTCACTTCCAAAACTCACTGATGAATTTAAGTCTGACTTATTTCTATTTTAAGTATGTTACAACTGTTAAAACTCTTTGGTAGAGACAGAAGGCTGTAACTTTCTCATTTCTTCACAGGTGCGAAAGTTAAAGGGGTGGATCTGGATGCACCAGGGAGTATTAATGGTGTGCCGCTTCTGGAAGTAGATTTAGATTCTTTTGAAGATAAACCTTGGAGAAAGCCAGGTAATACTGTGGTTTACATTAACTGATATGTAGGTATTCAAGTAAGTTATTTTAATAATAATACCTATTTACTGCTTATAGATGTTATCTACCCTACAACTAGAAGATATACTGTAAATTATTAATTTGGAAAAAGCAGCTAAGTTATGTGTTGCCTTTGTGCTGTGCCACAGTGTGTGGGGGTGTCATGTTTCTTAGTGTATATCCTGCACATCTGTCAGCAAAAAGAGACTGTGGGACTTACCTTTTTTTTTTTAAATACACACATATTCTGAACTCTCGTTGGAAACCTGTGTTTCTGTGGAGATTACTGCCATTCTGTGCAATGGGACAGAAGATAGAGCAGAATGGAAAATAGTTCTAGGAGTTTTGAGCATGAAAAATGGTGAAATGTAGCTGCCTGTGCTTCTTTGTGTTCACACATAGATGCCCATAAGCTTTGAGGAAGAAGCTGGTACCACATAGGCTTCCCATAAGTCTGCTGTGTGTATTGTCTGGTTGATTCAAGTGTTTTGGCCAGACTTGTCTTAATACCAGCATTGGTTGTTTTGGTTTGTTTTTTTTAGTGGCCGTATATCTTGCTGCTGTGTATAGGTTTTTTTTCTAGTGTTTGTATATTGCTTTGGCAATGCGGATAGTGTCTACAAAATGCAGAAAGAAGCCTTTGATAATATTCTGGTGTTTGAACTCTTAGCTGTTTGAAATACATTCTGTGCACTTAAGTTACAGCTGGTATCTCTCTTACAGTAAAAAATACTTCATGGCATCAAATGAAACCAGGAGTCAAAACAAAACCAGGAGTCAAATACAGAACAAGCAAAATGGAGTGGTTCTTCACTGAACATACAGCAAACCTGTAGATCTTAAATTTATCCTATTGTAAAGATAAAAGGATTAGAATATCCTATGATATCTACTCTTGATCTCTCAGACAGGTTGCTAGGCAAAATACTTTTTCTGCCTGTTTTTATAGTCCTAGCCATGTGTTTACTGATCTAAAACTGTACTGTACATGTCAGTAGTATGTTTTTTAGATTGGTGGCTATTCCGTTTTGGTGTTATAAGTAGAGTTGTATGTATGTTCAGTGAAGAAAAGATGAACTGTATAATGTCCTGAAAAGAACTATGCTTTTCTGTTTAAAGGGGCTGATCTCTCTGATTATTTCAACTATGGGTTCAATGAAGATACCTGGAAAGCTTACTGTGAAAAACAAAAGAGAATACGAATGGGTCTTGAAATTTTACCAGTTACCTCAACCACAAATAAAATTACGGTAATTAGTACCACTTTTGTGGTATTCTACATGCTTTATTTCCCTGTAAAGCTGTTTGTGTGTTGTAAGCTTGTTCTGCCCAATTCAGTGCATTTGTTAGAGTTTGTACCTGACTCCCCACCCTGAGCCTAGAATGTTCCTGTGTTGCTTCACTGGCAGTTTGTGTGGGTGTTGTGACAGACTAGCTACAGCTAGATTGCATCTGTACCATTGTTCAGATTGTGGCCCATCACTTAAGAGCTGTATGATATCTTAATGGGCAATGTGTTATTTAACTTAGGCTGAAGACAATGCTATGGAAGTAAGACCAGGTGCAGAGATTCTCGATGGCAGATACCATCTTTTTAAGGTGAATTTTAGTAAACTTTTGTTGGTTGCTCTCATTTTTGTTGAGTATTGCTTCCCATACCGCCACAGACTGATAGAAGAACAACTGAAATGGACATAGCCCTTATTTCAGACTCTCATCTTACATCAGTGACTTTCTGCATATGTCACAACATGCTGATTAAGACATGTTGCTTTGTTCATCACCCTTCTGCAAGCATGTGAGTTAGTGGCCTGGTGAACTAACAAATTTCCTAGTGAAACTAAATTTTCTCTATGTGTTGGTTTATTTTTAGTTTGGTGCATTTGGTTGTGGAGATTAAAGAATTTGTGCAGATATGCTGGGGAAGCGTTTGTAGGTTATGGCATGTTTATTTTTCCTGTGGCCTTGTAGCTCTTACTCTGATTTGTAACACTTATCTTTGGCAACTCTGAGACATGAAAATCAATCTTCCATATTTTTCTATTGTCCTTTTGGGATTAGATGGCAATAAATCAAGTTATGTATACTTTTCCGTTCTCAAATGCTGATTTTCAGAGTGCAGAAAAATCTATATGACAGGCCGTATCTTAAGGATTGAACATTTTTTTTTTCCAACTTCTCGTTTTCTCATTTACTCTTTCCTTTGATACTAGAGATAAAATTAAAATACAAAAGTTACTTATTTTGCTTATTTTCAGTATGCAGTCATTTTTGTTCTCGAATTGTCATTAAACTGACTTGGAACTGTTTGTTGCTTGCTTCTGTGTACTCCTGTGACAAAAGTATCAATTGCAGACATATTTTTGTTTCCCCTCATATACTACTTGAGGGTATCAGGTCTTTTGACTTTATCTTAGCAAGAACAGATCAGAAGCTCCCTGGGGCTTTTTGCCTTCCTCAGTTATCATTGTAATAGTGTTACCAAGTGGTCGAAATGGTGATTAATGGGGGTTACAATTTGCAGCTGACTACACTCTCAAATTTCTCTGAACTGTTGTCTTGAAGGAAGAAGAATAAATATTCCAAACCAAAGCTGCTGCTATCTGTAGCTCAGTATTGACTTTCTGGGGATCCAGTGATCAAACACTACAGATAATAATTGTATTGTAAGAGTTTGTCATGTGTTGTACAATTATTAAATAATTTCATTAACTTTTTCCCTACTCTTCTGAAATACTAAGTTTCTTGTAATTTACATGATATGTTTGGATTAATCTCCTGTAACTGGCAAGAGTTTGTCTCCTGCATTTTCCTGTTGCTCATTAATTATTAGAAGTCTTACACATTTTTTTCAGATAAATACTTAAACCAAACCTATTCAGTTTTTGGTTTTTGGTTTGGGTTTTTTTTTTCCTTATTTCTGGATACTAAAGTTTTTAATTCAGTTTTTAACAAATCTTTAACTATTTATGTGTATTTTTGTGCACCTGGGAAAGAGGTGCATGTTTTTAGAAATAAGATGCTGCAAAAGCTTAGTAGTTCATTTGCCTACAAAAAGCTGTGAGATCACAGCCTATGTGATGTTATACCGTGAGTGATCTAGCTATGTAGAGCGATGTAGCTATGTGGTTGGTACAGTGGGAGTGTCTTTAAAAACTGAATCAGTACAGAGTTCTCTTTAATGATAACCCATGTAGGTTTTTCTTTCATGTGTAATATGCTGCTGAAGTTAAACAATACATGGCGTGCTTGCATGAAAAATCTTGCATAGCTTTAATAATGTGTCTCTGGAATATTGCAGTACTTCAGAAACAGCAGTATGTTTTTGAAGTATTCAATCTGAGCTAATGAAAAATCTTCTAGAGTTTGTATTACTTTGAGTATGAGGTGACTTCCTGGTATGACTTGGAAATTAAGTGGTTACTAGATCTCATGGTCAGTGAGGCAGACTGAGGATCCACTCAGTTTCTTGTCTCATGGTTTGTTGTTGGGTAGCAGACTTCTTAGAGATCTCTGTGGTTAAGATTATGAAGGTTTTTTTATTTTTTTATTAAGTTTGCTGCTTTTAAAAATTAAGATATTTTTTTCATACAGGAGATTCTACAAGAAAATCCGTTTGGTCTATTCACATCCAAATCAAATGCTTGGAGACTGTTTAATCTTCTGTAATAGTTTGTTCTCTGGCATATTGCTTCATATATAAATTAAACACAGTACTTAAGTAATATAGCCTTTAACAAGATGGAATTTTACTAGCTGTTCAAAGGTGACAGTTTTATAAAAATATGATTAAAGTTGGACGTACTTTCTTTTTTGTGCTATGTTTTCATAGCTATGCGCTATGTTGAGGCTACTACACTTCTGAGGTTAAACTAATGATGAAACATTATTTTGAAGGTACAGCAGGGCAGAACTGGAAATTTGGAGAAAGAGTTGACAGTGCAGTCGACCAAAGCTGATTTCACATCTCCTCCTGCCTTACTCAAATCAGGAATTCCAACAAACAGGTCAGTTAGTTGTAACACAGTAACTTTTTATGCTGTTATCTCTGTATATTTGAAGTTCATGGTTTTTGTAGGAAGAAACAAAAATATGCTTCTGTAACAGGTGGAAATGAGAGGAAGAGTGATCCTGATCACTTCTAGCCTTCAGTCACCGCATGAATGCTGTACTATCTTCTTGACTGTTCAGGAAAGAGAAAGTAGAAGGGAAGGGGAGCAAAAACAGCAGGGCCAAATACCAAAGCAGCTATAAAAATCCAGGTGTTGATGTATGACGCCGTGTTTTTTGTGTAGAATTAGATTGATCAACAAAATGTTTCTAGCTAGTGTCTTTATGGGTATCAGCTGACTCACCTTTTCATTTAAACCAGATGGAATCAGACAGCTGTGACTTCAGCAGCTGGAAGAATTCCTGTAACCCAGTCTGACCTGTGACATACCTTTAGCTTCTCCCTATCTGACTATTTTATTATACTTTCTCTGAAATGAGATATTTCCTCACTAGGATTTCTTCCTCTCCTTCTTCCAGCCCCAGGCTTTAAGAAGTTATGTCCTTTGTATCTAAGCTACTGCTGCTTGCTACCTGTCACTTGACTTAGGATGAATCCATGCTGCTGCTTTACTTCAGTTATCAAGTGATCCTGTTTAGGAGTTTTGATTTTGTGCAAATGAAAAGCCATTGTACTCACAGAATTACAGAATGGTAGGAGTTGGAAGGGACCTCGAAAGATCACCCAGTCCAAACCCCCTGCCAGAGCAGGATCACCTAGACTAGGTCACACAGGAATGCGTCCAGGCAGGTTTTGAATGTCTCCAGAGAAGGAGACTTCACAACCTCTCTGGGCAGCCTGTTCCAGTGCTCTGTCACCCTCACAGTAAAAAAGTTTTTCCTCATGTTCTCATGGAACCTCCTATGTTCCAGCTTGCACACATTGCCCCTTGTCCTGTCATTGGACATCAGAGAGAAGAGCCTGGCTCCTTCCTCCTGACACTCGCCCTTATACAAATTTATAAACATGAATGAGGTCACCCCTCAGTCTCCTCTTCTCCAAGCTAAAGAGACCCAGCTCCCTCAGCTGCTCCTCGTAAGGGAGATGCTCCACTCCCTCAATCGTCCTTGTGGCCCTGCGCTGGACTCTTTCAAGCAACTCCCTGTCCTTCTTGAACTGAGGGGCCCAGAACTGAACACAATATTCCAGATGTGGTCTCACCAGGGCAGAGTAGAGGGGAAGGAGAACCTCTCTCGACCTACTCACCACACCCCTTCTAATACACCCCAGGATGCCATTGGCCTTCTTGGCCGCAAGGGCACAGTGCTGGTTCATGGTCATCCTGCTGTCCACAAACACTCCCAAGTCCTTTTCTGCCTGGCATCTTTCTAGTCACTCATCCCCAAGCCTGTAGCGCTGCATAGGGTATTATAAGTGATGGTAAGAGAGGTAGAGCAGGTTGTATGCTTTCCTTATCAATACTTAGATTGGCATCTATGACTTGTCTTTATTGCTGCATCCATAAGTACCATGACTGATTCAGAGGTTCAGTTATGTTCAGTTATTCCATCCTTTAAGATTCAGTTCAACACTTAATCATATTTCTCTTGGGTGGAACAAAAAAAAGTCTTGCTTGATACTTTGCCTACATTTTTCTTTCACTCCTAGGTTACTCGTCCTGGTAGTGTAAATTCTTCTCTGAGCTACCAGGATATACTCTTCCAATTTTGGTAGATTTTTGTGGGGTTTTTTTTCCATTTTTCTTTGTCTAAAAACTAGTAAAAGTCTTCCAAATTTTGCACCAACCCTGTAATTATTATATTTATTTTTTTTTTACTTTTCTGAATTCCTTCTGATGTGTGATGTTCTTGTAACAAAGTTCTCAAAATGGAATGTACTGTTCACAGGGTAAAGATTCCAAATTTGTATCTAGTATGGGTTTTGTTATAGGATTTCAATTCTTTATGCATCTCATTGGTGGACAGAGAATCTCTGAACTACTTTAGAAAGTAGTTAATGACCAAGATATTAAAATGTAGTTACACTTAAAGTTGTGGGAAAAAAAATCTGTGATTCTGTTAAATTAGTGTTTTGTTGTAAGAAAGCTTAATACAGTAAGGTCCTACATGTGCTTGGTGTGAGCTTCGTAAGTAAATTCGTTGTTGTATGCTCTTGCTAAGATAAATCTGTCTTACTATAGATGTCTTTATATCATATTTTTATGCGATACTGGTTTTTTAATGCCTGAAGTTAGCAATCCCAAGTTTAAGTGATCATTACTCAGAGCTTTCCTGAGAAACTTAATAGATGTCTGTTTCCTCTAGGAATTAAGTTTACCTTAGCAAAGATTGGGAAACCCATATATCTTTAAGAATGGGAAGCCAGTAAGTGAAGTTTGTCTGTTTTATAGACAAAGAGGAAAGAAAATGGTACATTTCCAGTTGTATCACCCGTGCATTCTGGTGGTTAGGATAGGTTGTTTTATGTACATTTAGTGTGAATACTCTAATAGTAATTTGTTACAATGGCAAAACTGACTTATTTCCATACTTAATATCTGCTCCTTTGGATACATTTGCTTAAAATAAATTCATGTGTAAAGAAAAAGGTATTTCTGCAAAGTGGTCAGAAAGAAGTCTTTCTTTTGAAAGAAAATTGTATGCTCAAAAAACTGAGAGTAGCTCAGTGAATGGGTATGTCTTAACTGCATGGATTATAAATAGTTCTACTTGAATGATTTCTCCAGAAGGCAGCTACTATTTTCTGTTTATAAAAACCTGTATTACTAATTTCTTTATAACCAGGCAGTGTTTTATGGGATTAAACTTTTACTTTGGTTAAAGAGTTGATTTTGAAATTTTTTAGCAATCCAGCTCTTTGAAAATTTAAAATAATAGCCTTTATGCTATGAGGCATTTGCAGTAGCTTTGTTGTGAAACTGCTGGAAGCATTTCTCATGTAGCAGTAAAACTTCTCTCACCTTTTAGCTGTAGTTGATACATTTGGGGAAAGGGAGGGGAAAAGTGATGGAGCTGGCTATAGCAGCATTGGTGTGGGGATTGGTGAGGAGCTGGGCATAAGGAGAACAGGAACTCAAGAAGCAGAAAAGATAGAGACACAACAAAAGACCTAGGCATTTTATCTCACCGGAAGCAGTACCTCTTTTCAGTTACAGAGGAAGTGACGAAAAAGCCAGTTCAGGCATCAGAAAGTGTCAGGAACAATATAGGAGGGACAAATCACCCAAATGAAGGTAAGAGGGGGGGAAATATAAAGATATTATCCTAATTTAACATTGTAATTCCCCATTTACTAGTCAGGGCTGCAACATCACTTTGTGGATGATTTTACACGTAGATATTGCAGAACGTGTTTCTTTTTAGTGAGGAGTCTGAGGACAGACTGTGTAATTTTCTGCTTACTGTTTTTACCTTTTTAGTTTGACTACGGTAGTGTTTGCACATGATTGTAGTTGAAATTCTCAAACAAAAAATGTCTCTGAGGCCTAGCAAGAATATTACTCATTACCAATATGGCGGTTGTAGCTTATAAAATAGAAACAGAATTATTGTAAATAAAAGTTACTACTTCACTAGAATTACATCCTAAGTGCTTCACGCAAAGAAAAAATCAGTGTTTGTTCATACAGTGTATCTGTGCGAGAGATTTTGCTTACATTTAACAACAGTGGCTGTCTTATCATAGCTGAGCTGTTCTTTAGAAGTGACACCTGAACCTCTTGTTTTGATTCTGTGATACTTAGGGCTGTTGAATAGCACAAAGTGATGTCTCATTCTGAAGGAGGAGTTAGAATGTAATGGAGATGGTTTAGTAAATGCACATCATATACAATGTGATCTAAAATAAAATGTTTTTTCTCTAGAGGTAGTTAAAGATTCATTGTGTGCATAGTAACAATTAGGGTAAAAACCTGAAGGTATCTCTTTTTGAGTATGCTGCTTTCTGGAACACAAAGAAGATTTGACATATTTTAAACCTGCCAGGTCATGGAGATATCTTACTGGCTTTTAGACCAGTGTCATTTTTCAAGGACTGGGAGATAGTGTTTCTTTTGTAGCAGAGAAATAAGCAGAAGTTTCATTTATATGCTAGATGCAATAACTGGTATTTTCTCATCCCAGTAATAGCTATAACAGGTCTCCATCACAAAACTTTGTTCTGTCAAAAGCTCTTAGTTTTCTAACTTCCATTTGTACTCATTAGTAATAACCCAAAAAAGCATATTGCATTTAAATGAATTTTGCTTTCAGAGAACTTAGCCTGTCAAAACAATGAGCTGTTTATCAGCTTTCTCTGTGCTTGGGCCTTTCTGCAAACAGAATTTTTATAGAAAATAGATTTGCGATATGACATTACTGTGAAAAAATACAGGTTTCTCTTGTTTCATGAACTAGCCTTGTGAGACTAAACAATGAAAACTCAGATACTGTTTTGAAAAAATGTCTTATTTCATATATCAGTGGTTTCTGAATTAAATTTGTTTGCTGCTTAATTATATCAGTTAACTCGGCAGCATTGAGGCTGTCCTTAAGAGGGGGAAAATAAAGCATAAAACACATAAGCAAGACAAGAAGGAATACAAGAACATATTAAATACAATTTTTAAAGTATATTATAATTCTGGAATTCTTAAACTAGACTATAAGTCTGTCATCCAGTATTTAGACTGCTCCTGAATTCTGGGAAGTGTATCTGTGGGGTATCCAAAAAGCAGTGCATTATTTACATTACTTGTGGTAGCAATAAGTGATTTCTGAAGCTATTAATTTGGAAAATAATCGGTTTTGGTTTTTTTTTTTCTTGTTTTCTTCCCCCTTCCTCTTTGCTCTGTAGAACTTCAGTGAACTCATCTTGCCAAATGAGACTGAGATACCTTTCTGAATTAAATCTCCATGGAGAGTGGTATTCATAGTGCAAATAGCTCGTAAATAACCATTCTCTAATTAGAGTGAAATCACTCACTGAGTTACTGGAATGTTCCTTTCAAGCTGCACTTTGTATGAACTCTGCATGTGCATCCCACACACATGGGTTGCCTCATTATGTTTGGTTGTATCCATTGGGAATGCATCTGTATCCCAGGTGCCATGATGGTGTAAGGGACAAACCAAGCCCTTTCTTTTCTTTGTGTACAGTGCTGAGACAGAAACCCAGTAATGCCTGCTTAACATCTTATCAGTAAGCTAGATAATAGGTGGAGAGTCTTTGAAATTTCCCATGTGCCAACTTGGCAAGACTTACTCAAGATCTGAGTCTTCAAATGTGCCCTTCACAGAACTGCTGAACTGCTAAATTCTGGACTCTTAAGATGCCTCGGTTGCCTTTGTGAATATTACAGTTTTGACAGTGGTATTATGCTCCATTTACAACTGAACATATGCTTTCCTTTGTTCAATTTCAAGCTCTTTTAGTGGCATACCTAATAAAATCATTATCGCAGTCTTGGAAATAGAGAATTTGTAAAGTTCAAGGTATGATGGCAAATTCCTGAACTCATCCATCATTACAAAATTTAAACCTCTTAGCAGCTGTTAGGAAGAACAATGAACATACCAATATAAAACATTATTAAATATAATTCTAGAACACCAGCTCAGTGAGAATAAGCGAACATAGATGTACTCTTCAGACTCTAGAAAAATTAAGTGAAAGCCCTGTTCGTTTCAGTAATGTTGCCAGTGCTTCAATGTCCTTGTAATGAGGGGCCCAAAACTGAACACAGTATTCGAGGCGCAGCCTTGCCAGTGCTGAGTACAGGGGAAGGATGACTTCCCTGGTCCTGCTGGCCACACTATTTCTGATACAAGCCAGGATGCTGTTGGCTGCCTTGGCCACCTGGGCACACAGCTGGTTCATACTCAATTGACTGTCAACCAGGAACCCCAGGTCCTTTTCTGCCTGGCAGCTTTCCAGCCACTCCTCCCAGAGCCTGTAGTGCTGCATGGGGTTGTTGTGATTGAAGTGCAGGACCCAGCACTTCGCCTTGTTAAACCTCATACAATTGTCAGTTTTCTCTACTATAGTTTCCCATATAGGTGTGACACAGATGTACCTTTGTTTCTCTCATCCATTAGCAGTGTAATTTTGTACTTCATTTTCTAATGGAGTTGACCTGAGTGAATCTTACTTTTTAACCTCTTCTAGAAATTAACCGTGGGCTGCAAAATAGGTAGGTTTTGTTCTATCTGCATAAAGTTATGACTTATCTGCATAAGTTATAAATTGTCTATAAAGCTGGTTTTCTGGGTTTCATTTGTTTTGGGGCTGCAAAGAGAAAAGTTCACTGTACTTCAGATTCTTCCTTTCTTCAAATACTGATTCCCCATTGTCACAGATACCAGGTTTTCATTTTAGTAGGTGGCGTTCAGATCCTTGTCATATTATCTTCTGGTCTGGCACTTGGAGTCCCTCTTTACTGTCAGTATATTCCCATGGTTGATTTATTGAATATTTTGAGTGATTACACTTTAAATTTTAGTGTTTGTGTCCAGTGGAATGACATTGTGTCCTTACCCACAGTGCAACATTTTAAATCAGCTTTGAAAAGTTAAAAATAAAAAGTTGCAGTTGACAACTGTGTGACCACAATATCACATGGTTTTGGGGGCTTAAAGATACCTCTCTTAACAGACTATGTGAATATGCATATGGGAGTTAAGAATTTTATAGCAGGAGCAGCTGAAGTCTTAACGGACATAAGCTTAATTGATTGACTGGTTTGGAAACTGAAGTGAGATACATTTGCATTTAAAATTCACACATTGACTCCAGTATGGACTTGAACAACATGTTCACAGTGAACTGAAATCACTGAAAATTGAAATTCGAGATTGCATTTTTCTAAATAAGATGCATTTCTTTAAATTAATCATTAATAACCATACTCGTTGAGAACGTGATCTTTTAATTACTGTTGCTGCTTCCCAAAATGTTAGTTCTATTTCCAGTGTTAGCCAAAATAAGAAACTGGAATGGTAGTCATCATTAGCAGTGAGGAGAAAAATGGAAAAAGTCATTCTGGTAGTACATTAAGTTGTGATCCATTGAGGGCTGAATATGATCTGTGATCCTGTTTATGTCAGGCATGAAAAGTTATAGTAGAGGTAGGAAGGGTCCACAAAAAGATGAAATAAATAATGTAAGTTACAGAGTCACTTCTATATGAGGAGAGATGTGGACTAGTTCAGCTTGGGAAAGAGACAACTGAGAGAAGATACAAAAGAGGTACTCTGTATACTACACTGACAGAGAACAAGGAGGTTGATTTATGTTTTATTTATTTATTTATTAAATACAGGGACTGTTGGGCACCAAATACAATTGTCGGGCAAATGAAGTAGCTGAAACAGATCTCATCATGGGAGATCAAAAGTAAAAGTGCATTCAAAAGAGATTGTGCAAATGCAAGTTTACCAGGGGCTGTCAAACACAGTTGCATGGGAAGTCTTTGAAATTTTGTTTGGCAGAAACTGTGAGGAAAAGAATGTATATGCTTGTCACTTTTTTGGCAATCTTTCTCTAAAAATCCATTACTAACTCTTCTACTTGCAGTTTGGGAATTATTTCTAATTATTAGTTTATACCTATTTAACTTTAGATTTTTGTAGAATTTCTGTTTAATATATTCTTTTCCTACTCAGTTTTTTTGTGATCTCACTGTATTGTTTCTTTTTTTTTATTATTGGTGACAGAAGTGTTTATTATCTTGTAGGAGAATGTGGAGAAGTCAGCCTTTGTCCTACCAGAGTCTTTATTGATGCATTGTTTAGTTCTACACACTTGCATAGTTCAGCAGATTTATCACATTTAATGTTCTTCAGGAACGGTCTTTTATGATTCATGCAGAAGAAGAAACTTGGCATTTAGAATGAGAGAAATACATAGGATTTTCTTCTCTTTCTTTTATTTTTCTTTCCCCCCCCTTTTCTAATTCTGCTTGTTGATTGTGGCTTGTCCTGTGTTGCAGGCGATTAACTGGTGCAATAGATGTGATTGGACAGACCATCACTATCAGCAGGGTGGAAGGACGACGGCGTGCTAACGAAAACAGCAACATACAGGTTTTATACTGCAGATTTGCACACTATCATTGACTAAAAGGCATTTTTACTTTCCCCATAGCTTGTGATTAAAACATTTCAGTGTGTATGAGTGAGTAACACAGCAGTACCTTTAAGTTCAGGAAGCAAGTTGTGGTAGTTAATTTAAATGTATTAAGACTAAATATTTGATATATTTCAAAAGATAAATGTTTTGGTATACTTCTTACTGAAAGGAAATGAGCAATATTGCGGGTTTACAGTCTAGGAGACAGCATTGCGTCTGCTAGATCTGCATGGGATAACGTTTTGTTTACTAAGTGACAAAGATAAATATTTAAACTGACTGTCCATTTCTCCCCTATTCCTGCCAGATGCTAATGCCGAAAGTGAAAGCTTCTTTGTATGCAGTTTGAGAAATGCAGACTTTTAGAAATAAGTTGTGAGGAAATAAATAGTTAATAGTACTTTTTAAATTATATTGTATTTTACCATAAATGTACGATTAGTCTTTATTATGTTAGTCTTTATGGGCTTGGATTATCTTAAGAAAACAAATAAATTCATTAAGATTGAATACACTATTTCTCTCCTGACTTAACCTGTGGAGAAGAGTCAAGGTTGCTTGGTGCCCTAGCTGCATTTTCATGTCAATTTAGGTTAAATTTAAACAAATGATTGTGGATTGTAGTGCTTATAGTGAAAACGCTGCCATGTGTTTTTCAGCTGAACTCGCAATTTAAAGTCTTGGGTTTTTTCATGCTTTTCTTATTGATTTTTAAAATATTTTCTGCTATATATAAATTTAAGATGGCCATATTCACATGGTTTATATTCCCTCTCAAACCTGATGTTCATTGTTCCCTATTGGCTGCTTCTAGACCCTCTGAGGTGCTTGGCAAGTACGGGACAGTGAACACAGATAGAACTTAAAACTATCTGAATATGGCTCTTTAGGTGCATAAGTAATACTTTCCTGTGGTAGTAACTGGAAAGAGAGGAAACCTATCTTCTGCCCTTTTGACATAGCAATTGTAACTATAGTTTGATATTTTTCAGGTTCTTTCAGAACGATCTAATCCTGAAGTAGACAATTTTACCAAGCCACCTCCATTTTTCCCTCCAGGAGCTCCACCTACCCACCTTCCACCACCTCCTTTCCTCCCACCCCCTCCAACTGTCAGTACTGCTCCACCTCTGATTCCCCCACCAGGTAAATAACCCGCACTACGGAGGATGTGAAAAATCAGAGATGCATTATCATCAAATGCTTGATGATAATGAATTAAAGACAGCGCACTCTGTGCACGTTTGTCTGTACGTACAGAATTTCAGAATTTTGTGTTCTACTCTTTTAAAAAATATATCTGCAAGGCAGAAACAGAAACTTTTGTCTTTACTTTCTCAGTAAGCATAATCTCAAGTAGAAGATAATTACCTAAAGACTAAATGTTGAATCTTGTGTCCTTGAAAATGTTTGAAGTGAGAAGCTGTTTTGAGTAATTCAACTACTGTTAATGCTATTGTTAGATACACGTTAACAAGTCATTCTTTAAAATTTTGAACTACAAGTATGGCATACCATGAGTCTGTGTCAGAAGTTAGATTTTCTAATGTCAGTGCAGTATTCTTGCTGTCAGTCAGAGCTCTTATTTTAGCACCTGAGGTTTTTATCCAGTGTCCTGTGTCTGTGAATCTTAGAGGAATCAAAGCTCTTTGAGAACTCTTCATTGTTAAATCTGGGTTGAAATTTACTAATATTTACTGAAAATTGATGTTTATGTATGTTTACTGGAAGGAATGTTAGGGGTATTTGCACAAATGTGCAGTTACCTGAGTGTTGTCATTTTAAGGAATTAAGTTCATAAGGACTTAGCAAGGAACTAAGAGGAATGGTCAGTGAGAAATGAAAATTGATGGTAAAACTTTGGGGAGCCTTTGAGTAGGAAGGTGAAGGATTTGTTTATAGAGATTGATTTAAAGTGGAACCCCTTTCCTTATTTTCTCCTTTTGTTCCTTGCATTCTTCTACTTGTCTTGTTCTGAAGTCATGCTGAACTGTTTCCTTGCTATTCTGTTTGCTTAGGGAATGTTTTGTAAGTTTCTCTGTTAATACTCATATATATATATA